TAAAACAGATTTCAAAAATTTAAGACATTTTATGAAAGTTGATAAGCACTTTCGTTGGTTAGTTTCTAATCTTCAAACTATTTGTGTGAAATAATTAGTACGTTTGGCACATGTGTACAAAATTGATTAATCTGCTATAGTTTTTTACGATATGATGCTTTACAGCAATTCGGAATATTTATAAATTACCCATAACTTAATTTATTGATTTCGTTTTGATTATGCCGACCCTTAGGCGGCAATAAGCAATTTACACCCAGTTAAGTTTAAAAAACGAATAACTGAAATTAAAAAAAAAAATGTTGATTTGGTATACGTGCAGTATAATTATTCACATGCATGTAGTTTGAGACAGCTGTTTGAATATCGTTCACAGTCACAGACACTCGAAATTTATGTATTAGCCCAGTCGAAATATACATTCCACTTCGAAAAAAGTCGTATAAGCTGAAAGTTGTGACATATATTAAATAAGTCATTACAAATGAAATATCAAAAGTCCAATCGATCCGACCTCTGCGATTTTTTTTTATTCAAGGTCAAAGGTACAAATTCTGATATTTCTCGTTTTTCGCGGAAACTACCAAAAAATGTGTAGGCAGATTTTATTATAAATTTATCTACAAAATTATTATACTTGTTTTCGTTAAAATCACCGTTCCCGAGATATTACAATTGAACAGTTGAACAAATCATATTCTTTATATTATGCAGCCTTTATATGTAATCAACGTGCAATATAATAAAAAACTAGCTGTAAGTGGAATTCTGTCTTAAGGCAATTAAGGCATCGTGCCTTAAGGCAAATTGCTGGAACTTCCCGTACCAAAAATTATAATTTTTTTAAAAACGATTAACATTTTTGAAAAAAAAATTACTTTGAAAAAATAAGATTTTTGGGAAACTATAAATTGGACAAAAAATAACTTTTTTTGAAAAAAAAATTTTTTTAAAAAAAAAAAAATTTTTAATTTTTTTTTTTGAAAAAAAAATTATTTATTTTGACATATTGTGGAAGATCTGAACTTTTTTTCAAAGCAATCGTACTGCTTTAACTGCATAGGCACAAAATAAAAGCGCGTAAGCGCCGCGTCGCTGTCTAACGCATAAGCATTGGTACGGAACCCATAGGAATGTGACAAAATGTATACTTATTGTTAAAATCTCTATAAAATATCTGATAATTTGATGTGCATATGTCTAATGATCATTTTTGACCGCCAAATGGCTCATTTTTTAACTTTTTCCTCCATATCTCCGAAACCGCTAGACCTACCTTCATGAAAATTTCATCATCGATTTTTCATCTTGTCAATACAAGTGAAATGTTTTTTGAATTATTCAAATCGGGCGATCCGTTCTCTTAAAAACTGAGTTACCGTTTTCGGCACTTTTTGCCCCGTATCTTCGGAACGGCTAGACCTGCCTTCGCCAAAAACTAATCAGCACGTCTCCTTATCAATACGATCGAATGTTTTTTGAATTATTCAAATCGTTGATCCGTGTTCCTGAAATCGTCGACGAAAATTTGTATCCGCACATACATACACACACGTACATACATACACACACACATACACACACACACACACACCATACACACACACTACACCCACACCACACACACACACATACATCCATTTTTTCTAAGGTATGCCAAAATGTTCAGAAACCTTTGAAACGTAAGATATATAAAAATTTTCATTTTCGATTTTTTTGCGATTACTATAACTTACCCTACGGGAAGTTAACAAGAATTTATTGGTTTGTGTTAGGTAGTACAAACTCGTTGAATCTTCTAAAGTTTTAAACTATAGTGTTAGCCCACAGTTACCTTCCTCCTTGAGCAACAACTGCCTGCTATGTCATTTAGCAGTACCCTAGTGTCGCATACCTGATAGTTTTTAAAGCGAATTTACGAAATGATTAAATGTATATGAATGCGAACCGTGTTATGACCATCCCAAGTGTTTACATTTTTATATAGCATCTACTTAGGTTTTTGTATATATATATTTATTTTTGCCAAAAAAATTATGTCCAATTATAATGACCGGCATGATTTTACATGATGTGGCCAAGTCTACGAAAGCAATTGCTATGTCTTTTGTGAACAATAGCACCAGGGACTGTTTTTACAATAAAATTATGTAAAGAAATGAATCAAAAATTACTTATTACTTTCATTAAAAAATCACATTTGTATGTTTATGGGTAGGGTAGACCAATTATTAATGGTCCACCACGGATATCTCGTAAACAAATAAAACTAGCTGTAAGTGGAATTCTGTCTTAAGGCAATTAAGGCATCGTGCCTTAAGGCAAATTGCTGGAACTTCCCGTACCAAAAATTATTATTTTTTTTAAAAACGATTAAAATTGAAAAATTGAAAAAAATTTACTTCGAAAAAATAAGAAACTATAAATTGGATAAAAATTACTTTTTTATGAAAAAAATTTTTTTAAAAAAAATTTTTTTTTTAAAAAATTTTTTTTTATTTTTTTTTTTTTTTAGAAAAATGTTTTTCTTATTTTGACATATTTTGGAAGATCTGAACTTGTTTTTCAGAGCAATCGTACTGCTTTAACTGCATAGAGACGAAATATAAAGCGCGTAAGCGCGGCGTCGCTGTCTAACGGGTAAACATTGATACGGAACCCATAGGAAATAAACAAAATTTATACTTATTGTTAAAATCTCTATAAATATCTGAAAATTTGATGTGCATATGTCTAATGATCATTTTTGACCGCCAAATGGCATTTTTTTTTACTTTTTTCGTTATATCTTCGAAACCGCTAGACCTGCCTGTATGAAAATTTGATCAATTCTTTATCTTGTCAATACAAGTAAATGTTTTTTGAATTATTAAATCGGACACTCCCGTTCTCTTTAAAACTGAGTTACCGTTTTCGGCATTTTTTGCCCCGTATCTCCGGAACGGCTGGACCTGCCTTCGCCAAAACTAATCAGCACGTCTCCTTATCAATACGAATCGAATGTTTTTTTGAATTATTCAAATCGGTTGATCCGTGTCCCGAAATCGTCGACGAAAATTTGTATCCGCACATACATACACACACGCACACACACACACACACCACACACACACACCATACATCCATTTTTTTCTAAGGTATGCCAAAATATTCAGAAACCTCTGAAACGTAAAGATATATAAAAATTTTCATTTTCGATTTTTTTGCGATTACTATAACTTACCCTACGGGAAGTTAATTAGATTTTTTTTAACAAAAATATTTGATAGTAGAGGGCAAAAAATGTATAAAATCATAACCAGCCAATACCTTTATTCTTATGACTTTGCTATCAGAAGATAAGCAGCACATGAGTGGGATGAAAAGGACTAGCTGAACCTTTACTTTGGCAAAAGTGTAAGCAATAAAATAGTAAAGTTTTGAAAAAAAGCAATTTTACAAGAGATTAATTAAATAAATTGTTATTCCGGCTCGTCTGATGAATATTTCTGACAAATAGCAGATCAATGTAATATACTGTGTTATCTTTGTAACAAATGTATCCACAGAATTAATATTTTGCATTGGTTCAATAATTTAGCGTAAAATCCCTTTAATTTAATTGAAGAAATTGCATCTGTTTGGCCCCTGGTTGTCCCACTTTACCTTTTTTATGTGAGGTAAAATGGATCAGATACCAAATTTAAAAAAATAGGAAAAAAAATAATATTTATATAATTAGGAATTCTGCGAATTTTTTTTCTGTACATAGTTCGATAGATGCTTGTTTGATGTGTGTTATGTGTTGCAAGGTTGTTCATTGGGTTTGGACAGTATAATTACTGAAAGTCAAATTGGACCTTTGTGCCCCGCCCTACCCTATGTCAATTTTATTTTATATTAAATTTTAATATGTGTCACTTGCATTTTTAATTAAAATGTATGTATAGGCTATTCTTTTAAATTACTGAAACATGTAACATATTTACATCTTAGTATCTTCAGTATGCTTTGTATGACGACCGGTTAGTATGACGAGATTTCGGCGTCCCTTCGATGTCATACTAAGCGGATTCTACTGTATATATATATATATATATATATATATATATATATATATATGTAAGTATACTTTGTAGTAAGTTTGGAAGTATATCGTATAGGTTTATTTCAGTTCCACAAAAATGAAATTTGATTTGATCAAGAAAACTTTGAAAAACTTCCCGTAGGGTAAGTTATTGTAATGGGCCGAAAATCGAAATTGAAAATTTTTTCATTTCTCGACGTTTTGAAGGTTTCTGAACGTTTTGGCATACCTCAGCAAAAATGGATGTGTGTGTGTGTGTGTGTGTGTATGTATATGTATGTATGGATACAAATTTCCAGTCACGTTTTCGGGCGCACGGATCAACCGATTTGAATGGTTCAAAAAACATTCGATTCCTATTGATAGGGAGATGAGCTGATTAGTTTTTGGCAAAGGCAGGTCCAGCAGTTACGGAGAAAAAGAGCAAAGAGTGCAGAAAATAGAAATCGAGTTTTTGAGAGAACGGAGCATCCGATTTGAATGATCTAAAAAACATTCAATTAGTAATGATTGATAGAAGTGTTTATTAGTTTATTAGCGTCCGATTTAAATGGTTCAAATAACTTTCTGCTTGTCTTAACAAAATAATTGATTTTGGAAAAAAAAATTAGTTTCAACTTTTTTTTTTCAAAAAAAAAAAAAAAATTGTATATCGAAAATAATTCAGATTTTATTTTTAATTCTGACTAAAGTTCTAATATACTTTAAACAAATAATTTTAACTTTGCAATTCAGTTTATATAATTCTTATAAATATTAGACAATGTTACAATATATTTATAATAATTTATTTGAAAACATTCAATATTCCTCGAACATTTCGTTACGGTACGGGAAGTTCCAGCAATTTGCCTTAAGGCACGATGCCATACACTCCACTAGTTTTAATATATTTTTTATTGTAATCAAAAATTATTTATTATTTTAATTTCAGGCGGCATAGTGTTTCCCGTGATCGTCATTCTCGAGATACTCGAGACAAAAAACGTTCTCGCTCGCGTTCGCATTCTAAAGGGAAACGTAAAGATAAAATTAATCATAAAAAAGATCTAGTCAACAATGTGATAAAACAAAATTGTCTAAACCTACGACAGATATTAATGGTGAAAAAAATCGTATTGATGATAAAGAGGGAGTATTAAATGATCCTGTTTTAGTCGATGAGAAGCAGGATAAGAAAATTTCTAACGAAAAAAACGATATGACGCGTCACGCTTTGAATAGTGGTGATGCTGTTAGTAATGAAAATCATAAAATGACTGAAAGAATGGAGGACACGGATTCCATGTCAAAGCTTCAGGCAAAATTACTTAATATGGCGTCAGGAGGAAGAACTAAGTCTAGAAGTAGATCTATATCCAAGGATAGTTCTAGCAAGTCCAGCAGTCAATCAAAATCTCGGTATGTTCATTTTTAAATTTAAGCTATTGATGTAGCTCTTATTCAATACTACTACTGCAATCATTATTATATATAAATAATTTTATTATGTTTATACTTTCAATCCAATTCTTTTTTTTATTATTATTTACACCTACAACATATTTCAATTTCAATACAATCTTCATGCTCACACTATTTTCCACATATAAATCCTATTCTTCTTCTGTCTATTTTATATTCTATCCTATTCTATGTACTCTTCAACGTAACTTCATTCTTCTTTTTTCTTCTTTATTATTTCTATTTTTACTTCCATTCCATTACTTCCTTCATTACTTCTATTCAATTTAATTTATATTCTCAAATCTTTTCATACACGATTGAACTATTTTTACTTCATTACTTCAAACTATTTTTTTAAGAGTATTTCTAATTTTTGACGGGGATCCGAACTCTGAACGTGTGAGTCGGGAACGCTACTCATGAGCTAATCCCGGAATAATACATTGAACTTTTTCTCTTCTATTTTCTTCATTTTAAATACGCTTTCAAGAATTTCATCAAACATAAGTATTTATGTGATTTGAAATGACATAGATTAAATACCTGAAGATTGATTTCAAAGTTTTTATTTGTACTTAATCATTCCATATACTTGACTTTGTTTTGTATTTGTGATTTACGCATTTTATACATCTGCAAGTGTGACTGGTTGTGTGCGCACGTATATGTGCATTTGTGTGTTCATATATATATATATATATATATATATATATAATATATATATATATATATATATATATATATATATGATTTAGTAGTTAATTTTGATGTTGAAATATATGAGTGAGTTCTTGAGGGCGATACATCAAACAAAGAAATCTTTGTTTGATGTATCGCCCTCAAGAACTCACTCATATATATATATATATATATATATATATATATATATATATATATATATAGTAATTAAGTCTAACCATCTATTAACACACAACCCTCATTCCTTTATTAACTAATTCTAATAACTCTTAATTACACACTTCTCTATTAATTAATTACACCGGTCTCTATGTTCACTACTACATCAATCACTCGTTTGTTATTCTCTCTATACCATACAATAGAACAGCAAGATCAATTCATACGTAACATCCTGCTCAATTCTTGTCCTCGAGAATGATAACATCATATTTTTTCATCTTTGCTTCTCATGTACCATATTCACGTCATCACCATATTTTTCCACTTTATATTTTGTGTCCTTTCTATTTTTTCTCACATGGTAACCATGACCCTTTCTAGTCTTTATCATCTGAATAACCAGACTCCCTTTACTGGTTTTTGAGATATCGGTGGTGGACTTTATCAACCCCGGATCTTCAAATATTACTATCCATTCTTCGATTTATTCATAGCAAATTTTGTCAGTTTATTCTTCAAGATTAGTGGAAAATAACCATTAGTGAATTATATTTTACATTGCATTATTTGATTGGTTTGATTTAATACAAAATTCTAATGCTGAAGTTTTTCATATTTTTCAATTTGTAGAGTAGTTTATAATGAAACATGATCGATGCCTGACTGTATCCAAACTGCAAGATTTTGACATATCGTTTGGAAGAAATTCCTTCAAAATTGTAGGTCATTTGTCAAGCCTTAAAAATATATACATAGTGAATCATTTTTTTGATAAACTCGTTCTAATACTGGAACTGTTGATACATTTAATAGCATGCAAGCTTTGTAATCAATTTTCAAAATATTTAATTCCAGAGAGAACTTATAATTTTGTGCATTGTAATTTTTACAGGTGTGTGTTCCAAAGTTATATATTATCAACCGAATCTTCTTATTTAAATTGTTGTCTGTTATACCTGGGAATAAGTTATTCCACAAAATGTACCCCTTTGATCGATTCCAAATTTAGGTTCTTAATTTAAACAATATAAATAAAAAAAATAATATAATCTAGAAAATGTTTTACAAACACCAATGAGTATAAAATTATACAAATGATTTCTTTCAGAGCACCGAGTTTGACAAAAATATGATTTACAAAAAAAGTGCATTTTCATATTAACATTTAAAATAAGTTGATATTTAGAGTTTCTAATAACACTTGCGGCCCGTTTAATAACATTTTTGTGTATAAATAAAACTACAAGTAAAACTGCTTACTACAATTAAATAATATTTATTCAAATCGCAATATTAAGATTAATTGAAAATGATCCATCAAAATTATTTGACATTTGACGTATGTGCCGACGTCCATTGTTTTATTTAAATCAGGCTTCTACAAAAATTTTCAAATTAAAAATGTAAAGTTTCTACTCGGTTTTGAAATAATCTCAACTTTCCCACAACCTGTGGGTTAGCACGTATTTTTCAAGACTAAGACTGGCCAAATCCGTACAGCCATTTTTATCTTTTACCATACCTAACATTTTGTAGAACTCCGTTTATATATATAAGTATATATATATATATATATATATATATATATATATATATATATTTGTATGCCATATATTATTAAAATGTAGATGTTGATTTAACCCAACATTTTTATAGTTTATTTTAGTGAAAAAATATAACTGTTTAATATAATATATTAAATATCGATAAAAAAAATTTTAACACAGCTCAAGATCACCAGTTGTTTCTAAACCTAGGAGATCAACCTCTAAATCTGACTCTTCGAGTATAGCTTCTAAAGGAAATCTGAGAAAAGCTCAGTCAAGTTCTTCCAGCAGCAGTGAAAGTGAAGGTGATATTTTGTGTACAAAAATATTTTAGAAAACTTTTGTTTTATGAAGATTTAATATTATTTTTATAGCATTATGTTAGCTTTTTTTTTAATTTCAAAAACTTACGAATATTAATTTTATTTTTATATTATTTACAAAATCACGAATTTTCATCAATAATCTATTACGAGCATTGCCACACACACTAGTTAATATGCTATTCATTCTTCAGGTGATTGCATGTATCAAGAAAAAATGGTGCAGCTATTTTGCTTAATTTTAAAAAATAGTTCTATTTTCAATTTCAATAGCTTTGTTGAAAGTTTGTAGTTTGAAGTCTATATTATGAATATTAATAATGCAATACTTGTTTTTTTTCAGATTTTGATATAAAAAAGAAAAATGACAGCATTCAAAAAAAGAGGCATTACAGATGCAATAAAATAGTTCTTCCAGTGAAAGTGATGTTGCCGACAAAAACGGCGTAGATCTAGAAATAGAGATTGGTGAGTACTATTAATTTCTTTATTTAATTTAATACTTGATATTTTATGCTAGCTGCATCTATCTACAGCATGATTAATAATAGATGATTTATTTACTAATGTTTGAAAGTACAAAAACATTTTTAAATCCTTCAAAATAATTTTAAAAATCTGATTTGAAGTATAAATTAAAAACAAAATTTCATACCAAAATCAATTATAATACAGATATTTATACTAGTACATTCCATAACTAATTAATTCATGGTAAAGATCTCATAGAAAAAAATCACATGTAAGGAATTAAAATATAATTGTTGTTATATTGTGTAGTTATATGATGGAAATTCTGTATTTTACTAAAATGCTGTTTTTTGCATATTATTTTGTTAGGTATAACAGCCGCCGTGATTCACGGGATAGAAGTCCACGACGCACAGCAGCACGGGGGACGTACGATACAACTCGACGAGGAGACTATCGGTCACGTTTTAGTACGCGAGACAGAGATTATGTAAGAGGACGTGAGGCGCGATTTGAGAGATCTCGTCTTTCATCCCGTGAAAAAGAACGCGACCGAGATCGCGAACGTGAACGTGAACGTGAACGAGAGCGAGAACGTGATCGAGAACAGCGTGAAAGGGATCGCGAGAGAGAGCGGGAACGTGAACGGGAGCGGGAGCGAGAACGGGAAAAAGAAAGAGAGCAACGAGATCGTGAAAGGGAGCGGGAACGTGAACGCGATCGCGATAGAAATAGGAATAGTGTCAAAAGCAAGGTTAGGAAGGATAATTCAAGAGAGCGTGATAGTTCCCAAAATGATAAGAACAGGAAACAAGCCATTTCTCCAAAGCGTGGTGAAGGAATTGATAATAGAAGTAGAGAAAAAGTTAAACAAATCAAGTCGCCTGAAAAGTACTATAATAAGACAATAAGAGATAAACCAGAAGATACTACTGGAGCTAATTGAAAATATCTAAGGATCGGGGAAGTATTCACAACAAAGTAAGGTCCATTGATATGATGGAAACAAAGAAGATCAAAGACAGGAAATCATCTGAAAGTTCTAGCAAAGATCAATCAATGAGTGAGAAAAGTGGTAATTTGGAATACAAGAAAATTTCCACTGCAAGCAAATCAAATAAAAAAGAACCTAGTGAAATTGATAAAGTCATAGGGCATAATTATGAAAAGCCAAAGAAATTAGATGCTGTAAAGAAAGTTAGTGGTGATAAACCTCTCTATTTGCGTAGCTTGTCGAGGACTCCATCTCCATTTTTAAAACTGTATGAATTTGGAGACAAATCTAAATTCAATGATAAAAAACAGAATAATAAACTTTATAAAAATAATAGTATAAAGGCTGTGAAAGCAATGAATAGTTCAACGAATTCTACAGATAGTGATAGTGATGATGATGATAAACTGTTAGTGAACGATCCAGAAGAAAAGCAACTCGTAAAAGACCACGTAAACCTGCTTCCTCATCTGATGAATCATCATCAGATGATAGTGATTCATCACATATTCATTCACAAAAGATAAAATTAAATAAAAGAAATACAATATAAAAGATTCTGTATCAGATTCAGATGACCATTCAAAAAGTGCAAAGAAAAAGAGATTGAGTAAAGTAGTACCTCAAACAAAGAATCGTTGCACCGAGAGTGTGGATAATAAGATAAAACCAAAAGAAGTTTCTCAAAAGAAAGTCGAAAGCATTCTCCAGTTAGAAATATGAAACCACAAACAAAATCGGATGCAAGTGATGATGAGAGTATTTCTAAAGCACAAGGAAAGGATGTAACATCAAGCAGCAGCTCAAGTGAACCTGAAGTAAAATCTAAACGTGAAAAAATTAAATACTAAAAATGAAAAGATCAAAACTTGATGTTGAAAAATCAAAATGCAAAAAGTCTGGAGATACTTCTGAGGAGGATAGCGAATTAGTGGAACCTAAGAAAAGACGTAAGAAGGATATAAAACCTAAAGCTTCATCACCTAGTTCAAGTAATTCTGAAGCAGATAGTAAGAAAACAAAGAAGCTTCATAAAAAACATAAGAAACATTCAAAAAACATAAGAAACACAAAAAACACAAGAAAATCAAGGATAAGAAAGATCTAAAAGAGAGCAGTGCATCAGAAGCTGAAGTATTAGCAGAATCCTCTGTAAATAACGATGATCTTGAGAAAAGGTTACGCGAGCGAGCCTTGAAGTCAATGAAAAAAAAAGTTGTAGCAATTCCGAATAACAGTTTGGATATACATGTGAAATGTCTTAAAAAATAAATTCGAAATAAAAACACATTGTAGAAGTGATCGAACTAAAATATATTTGTCCTCTTATAATTTTTGTTTCTTTTATGCATTCTAAATACAACGAATAACTTCTGCATATAGTTAATATATGTTATGCAAAGTCTACAAATTTGAAAACTTGCTCCTATTCAAGTTCTGTGATCATACTTCGATGCCACTGTTGCAGCAGTGATTAACCATGAATGCACAATAAATGAAATATTTTTCATAGACAGTTTAAAATCAGACTCAGTGATCTTTTAGACCATCAGGTCAGTTTATAAGTGATTTTCAATTGAAGACTTATAATACTATTAATCAAGGATATTGAGTTAAGATTTACAAGTTTTTTTTTTTAATTGTTTGTTTCTGAATCTTGAAATCAAAGTTTGCATATTGTTTTTTCTGTAATGATTTATGATTTTTACACTTTGTGCCATGAGATATATTCACACATTTGCCAACAAAATTTTTAGAACATTTAAATAGTGTGTTTAAATATAAATCATTTACTTCTATACATGTTGTGTTTGGTACCAATTGAATGTCAGTAATGAATGTAGGATTTTGATTTGAGTATATGGTTTGGA